GAGAAATATAAAGCTATACTTTACACTAGACTAGATAGAACTCTAGAATATAATAGACTATAGATTAGCTAGATTATAGAAATTAGAGACTAGTAGAATAATAGGCTAGAGCTATCTAATAAATAAGAATAATAGAAAGTACTAGAAACATTTTAAATAGAATTTATCTAGAAATTTTATAGTATAATAACGTATAAGTACTAGAGAGTTAAGCGTACTCTTAAAAGGTTACGCTAAGAATATAAGTTTCTTGTAATAAAGAAAAAAGTTATAAGAATAATACGAGAATATATAGAGTACTAATAAAATAAGATAATTAGATATTAACTCTATAGATTATTATAACCTTTAAGACTACCTATAGTACTATAGTAACACGTTACTATAGACTTTATTATAAAGCTACCTAAATTAATTAAACTTGCATTATAAAGAGAGTGTAATACTATTCTAGTAATTATAAACTAATTTACTAAGTATATATATTTCTATCTAACTAGTAAAACTCTTAAAGCTAAAGAACTAGCTTATAAGGTAAGCTAATAACTATTTAGCTAGTATAGAATACTAGAGTAGGTTACTATAGATAGAGATAAACTATTTACGTTAAAATTCTAGAACGTACTACTTAGCTAAATAGAAGTAAGTAACTAAATATTAACTAGCTTCTACCTATAGACTAATAGATAAATAGAATAAATAAACTAAACTCTAGAAGAATATCTAAGAAGTTATATTAACTAAGAATAGAATAACTAGGTTAAACTACTATCTATAGTATAACTAGTATATAATATAGTAAAACAAGAAACTATAGAAATAACTCTCTATTAAGTATATTATAGCTATAAGGCTAGAATCTATAGATTTTTAACGTATATAGCTATAATTTCTCTAAAGGTAGAGAAAAAGAAATACTAAATAAGAATAATTTATAACAAACTATAGAAAATAGTAGAAAGAATAACTTAATAAGTAAATAAGAAAAGAATTAAAAGACTAACCTTTAAGAAGAGAGGTAAAGTTTTTATTCTATAGAAAAACTTACGTACTAAGTAATCTAGTAAAAAACTTAACTACCTATAAATAGAACTATTTAAGATTAGTAAATAACTTAAACCTATTAACTTTAGGTTAAAGCTACTACTAATAATATAAATATACTCTATATTCTATAAATCTAAGCTTAAGCTAGTACTTAATAGCGCGCTACTTAATAAATAAACTAAGGTAGAACTAAACTAGAACTATAAAGTTAAAAAAAACTAGATAAAAAGCGTATATAAGGTTAGTAGAAGTACTAGGTTAGATAGAAAAAATATCTACTAGAAGAGAATACCTAGAAACTACTAGAAAACCTTAGAAATTACTCTAAGAAACTTAAGAAGTTTTGTTAGTAGTACTACCTCTAAAACTAGAAGACTAGAACTCTAGATTCTCTAGACAACTCTAGTTAAATAACTAAAGAGGATTAACTAGTAGAATAGAGAGTTATAGTAGTAAAGATTACTATACCTTCTATTCTAGCTACTCTAGCTTCTTAATATTAGTTAGATTCTTTAAAAGTAATACGTTGTAATAACGCCGCACTAGATCTAACTACTTCTAGAGGTAGTTGCTACGCGCCTTAGTAGACTACTATAATTTAGTAAAACGCTCTACCTTAAAACTAGCCTCTAACTACTAAGAACTTAGATTAGCTAATAACTAATCTAGCTTCTCTACCTTCTTTAGATCTAATATCTTATTATAGAACTAGCCTTTTATAATATACTCTAAATAATAACTAGAAGATACCTCTATAATATAACGTAGGTTATAGAAATAGTAAGTACTATAAAAGTTATTAGATATATTAAAGCTAGTGCGTAGAATAAGGTTAGCGTAATAGTAGTAGTAAACTATTAAAGACTTAGTATACGTAGGTAGTATAGTAGAGATAGAAAGAAAAAAAAGAATATAATACTATAGAACTATAGATAGTACTACTCTTATATAGAAATAGTATAGAATAATAAAATACTATATCTAGAAATAGAATAAAGCTTTAGAATAACGCTTTAGAAGAAGAGGCGAGTATTATAATTATAGAATTAGAAATAGAGTTAGCTAGCTAGAATAAAGAAAATAATAGGCTAAGTCTAGAGTTATAAGATAAGAGATTATGTATAAAGTTATAAAAATAATTAGAGTTACGTAACGTAAATTAGATAAATTAGATAGAGCTAGATAGATTAGGTCTAATTTACAAAAGCTAGGTCTTAGTACCTAATCTAGCTAAGAAGGTATATATATATAACTAGAAGAAGCTTACTTCTTATAGCTTCTTATAGTTATTACTTTATTTATTAAATTACTATAGCGACTTGCAATTTATAGTATTATTACCTCTACCTCTTTATTACTAAATATTCTAGCCTAAAGTATACTCTTTACCTTCTCTTATAAAAGTAAGCCTTAGTCTTAGTTAAGAGAATAGCTTGTAATACTATAGTCTATTTAAGAAAAATATACTCTACTCTATTATAAATTATAATAGCTTTAAAGATAGCTATTCTATAACTTTTTATAGCTAATTCTATTATAGTATATAACTTTCTTTTTATAGTTTCTATTAGTTAGGTTTTAGAAAGTACTACTAGATTTCTATAACTTCTACGCTAAAATACTAAGCTAATAAAACTTTACTCTATAACTATAGCTAGTCTTCTATCTATATATTACTAATCTAATAAATAGTATAGAGTAAAGTAAAAAGTATATATATAATTTAGTACTTCTATACTAGTATTAACTATCTATAGAATAAAGTAAATATTCTAGATACGTATACCTAATCTAGTAGGCTAATAAAAATATTAGTAGTAGTTAGATAAGTTATTATAGATAAGCTAGCTAATAGAGTCTTCTAGCTAAGTTTATAATTATAAAATAAAGTAGAATAGTAAAGAGAAAATAATAAAGATAGTAGTTTACTATTTTAGTTTATTAAGAATAGTAGTTAGCTTATAGCTATACTAGATTTAGTTTACTTATATTCTCTAGCTATATTATAGTAAACTTAATATTTTAGCTATAATATATAAGATAAGTAGTAACTAATAAATAGTAAAAATAGTAAGAATAGTTTACTATAGTAAGTTAGTAAGAGATAGTAATAACTTTAATATAGCTAGAGTAAGTATAAATATTAATATAATAATATAAGTAGAATAGTATTATTATATATTATAAAGTAATAGATAATTATTTCTTAAGTACTCTAGTAAAACTAGAGCTTAGTAAAAAATAGTATTAAAATAAAATACTATTAAATACTATATAATATAAGTATATTAATAGAAGCTAATATATACTAAGATAAAATAAATATATTATATTATAGTAGAAGGCTATTAAGATAACCTCTTTTACTTAGTAAAACTACTAGAATATAAGTTCTAATAGTTAAAATAGTCTTTAAGACTTAGAGTTATATTTTCTATTTACTATACTATAATATTATAGTCTCGAAACTCTAGAGTATATAAATAGTTATAAATAGACTAGAAAAACTACTAAAAAGATAATTAATAGTAAGCCTAATATCTTAGTAGTTCTAGTTATAGAGAGGTTTCTCTCTAGAAAATAGCTTATTAACTTATCTCTTTCTATTAATAAAGAACTAGTAGTAGCTTCTTCTAGCTCTACTCTAGTAATAGAAAAGCTAAACGCTTATAATACTAATAATAAAGAGTAAGGTAAAGATAAAACCTTATATAAATAAAGTTAGATAAAGAAAAAAACTACTAACTAGAAGTAAAAGAAGAAGAATAGTATAAATAATATAGATAACTATAGAATATTAGATATATAAGTTATAGAAAAAAGTCTAGAATATATCTAATAACTATTAAGTAGCTTCTATATACTTATATACTAAGCTTAGAATATAAATCTATAAGATCTTCTAGATAAAAATTAGGCTAGACTACTTTATAGAAAAGTAATTTTAGAAACTTATGTTCTATAACCTCTTTATCTTATCTAGTTTACTAATAGCTATTAATAGTACTAAGTTTCTAAACTTATAATATTATAACTTAAAGCCTATAAATAATAAAATATAAAAGGTAAAACTTTTATAAAAGTACGTTTTAGTTTTAGTAACCTCTTAGTAAGTATAAATAAATAATAAGAAGAGAATATTTAATAAGATAAAAGTTTTACGCTAAACTAATAGCTAGAGTAGTAATCTTAATAAGCTATTTAACCTCTTAAATAAACGTAACTATAATAAATTCTAAATAAGATCTTTTTAGCTTATAGACCTTAGTAATAAAGAAATTTAGCGCTATAAATTCTAGTAATAAGCTAGCATCTAAGTATAATATTTTTAGAATATTATTCTAGCTAGAGCTATATAACTAAGCTACTTAATACTACTAAAAGAAGCTTAGAGAGCTAGAGTATAATAAGAAAATAGAACTAGTTATACAAGATTAGTACGAACTAAAGAAAGCCTAAATTAAGTAGAAATACGCTCGAGTTTAGCTTCTTAAATTACTAGCCTAAGAACGAGTAAACGTGCTAGTAGAGAAAATACGTAATAAGAACAAAAATACACCCTAGGTTACTACTACTCTAGCCTAGCCGCCCTAGGCCTTAGTTAACAACATCTAGACGCAGGACAATTAACTCCTATCTTAGACTTAATATAACAAACTAGTGTCCTAGTATACAACTCTAAACAACGAGACGAATAGTACGCCGCCCTCGGCTCAGAACAACAAGACCCCAGCGAAAGATGCGCTCGCGGACTAGCTTGATCTCTTAGAGGATAAGGCTGTTATCTCCCTGGTGAGACCCCGGCGACAGACTGACGCTTAGTCAATCGCCTTCCGATACGCGGGCCTCTGGCCCATCGTCTCGAAGAAGAGGGCGAAACCGACACCGCCGGCCGCCGACGAAGCCGCCATCATGGCATGGGAGGCGGGCGATAACAAGGCGATGACATGTCGGTGGCATCCTGTGATACATTACTACGGGCATGGGAACACCTGGCGAATCGCTTCGATCGGGACACGGGCAACACCTCCATCCTGCTGTTCCAGTCGCTCACCAACTTAAGGTACCGCGACGGCGGTGACCTCAAGCTACACCTAGATAAGTTCTACCAGAGGTGGACACGCGTGGCGAAGCGTTGCCTGTCGTCTACATAACCTGTGGCTGTCGCCATGAAGCGCGTCTTCGAGTCAGATGAAGCCAAAGGCTCCTTCTTTCTAGCCACCTTGCGGGACACGATGGACACGGTAATCGACAACCTGGCCACCCGCAACCTGCTTTCGCCACCATCGAGCCGAAGATTCTCGACATCGCCGAGAAACACTCGCTCGACTCGGTCGACTTGACTGCGGCATATGCCGTCTGCCAATCCGCCGCGCGCTCAACGGCCCCCGGAAAATCCCTCGGGTCCTTCAGAATGCACATGGTGTCGAAAGCACAACCTCACCTCCGTACGTGGAACACTCATCCTCTTCCATCCCTTGTTCCTGTTTTCCTTAGCATATGGCCGCTTTTGACTGGTGGCGCCTGCGCTTGCCTCGACAAACCCAATCAATGGCCAGAGTGGGCCACCCTCTACGCTAGCGCCAATATTACCATGCCGCATGCAACCGTTTGCGTCCAGCTCATGCCACAACGACGAAGTCGCGCCACCCACCCGCACACCGTCGCAGCTCTCGTGCTTTAAGAGTGAGATAACTCCGTTAGTATCAAGCGTTCTTTCCAACACCACAAGCCCTGAATCATTTCAGAAGGAAAGATGTGCCATTACATCGATACAGTCTTTGTTTTTTCCGGTTGTACAAGCAAACACAGAGTAACCAACCGAGCCTATACCCTCTGTTCCAATCCAAACCCCTTAGGAACGTATCGTCATTGCCAAGATGCTACTCCTGATCCAACTGTGGTACTTGGTTCTACAAAACGAAAGGAGGCATGTCCAGTTTGCAACGGCGAGAGGCCAGAAGTGGTAGTGGTAAGGTTGTCTAGATACATCGTCCAAAAGGCCGGCTAATGTACCTAGTCGTACGACAATTAACTGTCTAGGAATGGTCGATTGTCGGCATCGGAATACGCGCGCGCGTTCGTTGGTTTGGTCTGAAGTAGTATGAGGTCGGCAACAACTTCATCTGCAGAGGTATAAGAGCCATGCCAGCATTTTTTGATGATTTTGGCGACGGGAAGAGCCTCAACGTCTGGAAAGCACTGGTGTTTGTAATTGTCCTCAACTGTGTCGTCGGGTTCATCTTCGTAAGGCCGCGTAGTTGTCCAGATTTCATAGATAGTTGATCCTAGTGCAAACAGTTCGCTTGCAATGGAAGGATTCTCATCGTCGTCCCATCGCTGCGATCGGCATTCGTAACCAGCTCTGGCAGGCTCCCCATCAATTGAGGAGCCGCCAAAATCGCATATTTTGATCTCATTACCCTTCAAAAGAGCGTTGTGGCAGCCAATATCTCCTTGTATAACCCCTTTTTGGTGGAGGTACGCTATTCCCTCAGCGACTTGGCAGGACCACTTTAGGGCCTGCTTATGTGATGGAGTCTTCCCTTGCTTATAGAGTTTCCGTAGGTGTTTGCGGACTGGCTCTCCGAATCTCTCTAGAAGAATCCCTCGTTGAACTGAGGAAAAGTATTGGCATATTCGTGGATGACACCCTAAACGCTGGTATACGGATCTCTCGGTAAGGAGGTCTCGAAGGCATGAGGAGGTAGCGTACTGGTTGTCGTATGTGGGAGCGATTTTTACGACGGTGCGCTCGTCAAGAGGATATACAATGCCTGAGATTCCGACCCCAAGCCAATGAAGACCTGATGTTGAAAGGACGGGGAGGCTAGGATCATCTTGCATGATATGAGAAGCGCCTGCGTCGTCTTAGTAAAACAGTAGTGAGAGTAAATGGAGAGGACCTTACGTGAAGAAAACGTAGAACACCCCAGCGGAGGACTGCGGCGTGTGCTTCTACGACTGTCAGTCGTTGCGACCTGTTAATCCGTTCTTGGCGTTGTGCTGGTGCGGGAACGAGGTTCCACTGGGCTGAGGTCCTTCGATGCGCCTCCCAGCTCGTATGTCTTTGAAGGGCGCGATGACGCGGTGCGCCTACGCGATGGGCTTCTCGTCGATGAACGGTTGAGGACGGGGAGAAGCGGCCAACTGGGGGGTGGGGGTGTAAGAGGGTGAGAGCAAGGAGCGCGACTGAACAGGTTGTTGTTAATCGAGGGAGCTTTGAGTAGGAACCTCTAGCTTCAACACGATCGGAGCTAGTTTTACGTAGTGAAGGAGATGGAGGAGAAGCTAGGCGCCTTCGTAACGGCTAGAGAGGTCGCCCGGACCGAGATCCGAGGGGTAAACCCCGGCAGAAAACATCGAGCACCAACCACAAATCATTTAATCGCAGGACGACTAACAACGTTCCGCTTACAGGTGCTATATCAACGCCGAAGTCGTTGCGGCCTAGATCTCCAATCCCAATGCGCTGCCGCTCGAGTACTTGATATTACGGTCCCGCCGTCGGCGCCCCGACGTTCTTAACGTCTTCCGCAGTAGAGCGACCTCCCCACACGCGCTCAGCGAGCCTCGTTGGGAATCCTAGCGGCGTACTTAAACTAAGGAAACACCGCTTACAGATAACTAAAGCCCCTCCGCGAAGGCGTATCCGGCGCACGCAGGTAACTCAAAGGAGGGTCTTACCCGGTATGGTGCACGTAGCCTGGCGAACATATTCAACGTGCATAAGGGAAGGCTCGGAGGAATCACAGGTCAGTCGGACGAGGACTCGACGGTTAGAGGCGTAGGCCAGCTCATGGTAACGGGACACAAGCTTGGTTAGTGGAGGGGTGGGAGCAGGTTGCGCGGCATGGAATCTAGTGTGTGGTCCAGAGGCAGGATCCGAAATTTTGGTAGATAGGTCCATGTGCTTCATAGCATGAATAATCGCTTGTTTATGCTACCGCATTGGAACTGGGTGATGCTAAGCTAATTGCCTAGCCAATAGTCAAAACTGGACCATAGCCGACCATTCTGGATGGCCGTGTTGAATGGCTTGGGCCATTTCGAGAGGTCGCTTGCTAGTCCATCTGTGTACATATGCTTCATTTCTGTGGATAGAACCATTAGCAGCGCCTTGTACATATTCAAACCTTCTCTCTTACCTCTGTTTCATTCGATGGTGATATTGAATCGGCTGGCCTTGTCCGCTAGTGCCCTGCCCTTGTGTTACTCTCCTCGTACTAACGTGTAGTGCTATGCGTTTCGGCGTACGTGTGGGCGGCGGAAGGGCGGAGGAAATTCGAGAATGTCGCGTAGACTGCGGGGGTGAGCGCTTCGATGTCGGGCAGAGAGGATGTTGGCGGGTTTTGGCACGGTGTTGCGATACTTCGGGGCTGCAACGAGTGCTGTAGGCTGTTTGCGGCGGGTAGGATTGGTGAAGGTGGATACGTGAAGCGTGGAGAGGTAGAAAGGCTGTCTCTGCCGGGACTCGATTCGCGTGAGAGGTGATGGCGTTTAGCTGGGAGGCTCGTTAATGCGGAACGTCGCAAACATTATCAGTTAGTGATAGGCTGGCTAGAAAGCTCGTTGGTGACTGTGTTTTGCGTTATTAATGTCGCGCTAGAGGGCCGTCGCATCTCACGTTGCTATATCGCGACTAGACTGGCGCTTGTCCATATCGTAACAAGGGCTAAATGTTGGCGCGGGCGACACCAAGGCAGCGCACTAGTGTATCTAGTTGTAGTTACTCCGCGAGTTACTCCCAGATAACTCCGGGCCCGCAGGCACACCTGCAACGCCTGCCAGCGCCGTATTATTACTACCTGTTACGCTAGGATCGCTCAGAAATATATGCGACGGCCATACAAAGCCAAGCGAGCGCGGCGCAGGGCGTGGTTGTAGGTAGGCAGGCGTGGGCAAGCTGCTAGCTGGCTGGCTAGCTGGCTAGCTGGCTGGCTAGTTGCGGCGCGCAGGTCGTTTCCAAACTTTTAATGTTCTGTGGCTAGAGAGGCTGCGCAGGGCTCTAATTAGGCGCAGCTATATAGCAGTGCATATTCCTATCGTCTAATTAGCTGATTAATTGTTCTTAATCGCACCCGATTCCGATCGCACCTAATTACTTTTCGGCAGAATGTCGGAGTCCCTAATTAGGTAATTCTACTAATTTAAATTAGGTAATTTTTTTATCTAAATTAGAAATTAAAGTTTTACTAGTATTCTATAAATCTAATTATAATTACTCTACTTATACCTTACTATATAATTATAGAATACTACTAATATATAGAGCTAATTATTTATAAATAATTAGAAAGTATAGTAAGTTATCTAATATAAAATAAAAGAGAAAGCTATATCTAATTAGAAAAACGCTAAGTCTATATAAGTAAGCTTTTACTAGTACTCTTAGTAAGAAATATTAAAACTTTAAAAAGCTAGCTATAGGTAGCTCTATAATAGCTATAAGGTATAGAAATTATAATATTATTATTATATATTATATAAGAATTACTTATAAATATATATAATAGCTATATAAAATTAAGTAAGTATATAGCTAATAAAGCTATAGCTAGATATACTAGTATATCTAGTTATAGTTACTCTATAAGTTACTTTTAAATAACTCTAGATCTATAGGTATATCTATAATATCTACTATATTATTACTATCTATTATACTAGAATTACTTAGAAATATATATAATAGCTATCTAAAGCTAAGTAAGTATAGCGTAGAGTATAGTTATAGATAAATATATATAAGCTAGCTATAAGTATAGCTTTCTAAATTTTAACTAACTCTAGTAACTTTAGTATACTAGCTATAAGTATAGAATTTCTAAATTTTTAATATTCTATAGCTAGAGTATTCTATAGTAGCTTATAGAGCTATAGTAAGCTCTAATTAGTAGCTATATACGCTAGTTATATATAGTAAAGCTAGTAACTAATATCTAAACTAATACTAAATTACTAATTTCTAACTTACTAATTTACGTTACTAGCGCTCTTAGGTACTACTAGCGCTTTTAGATATCTAAGAGCTCTTTATAGGTATCTATAACGCTTACTAGCGTTATATTATTACTATATATTATGCTAGAATTACTTAGAAATATATATAATAGCTATATAAAGCTAAGTAAGCGTAGTATAAAGCGTAGTTATAGATAGACGCGTATAAGCTAGCTAGCTATAGCGCGTAGGTTAGAAAGACTATATAGTACTCTAATTAGCTATAGCTATATAGTAGTATATATTTCTATTATCTAATTAGCTAATTAATTATATCTAATTATATCTAATTCTAATTATATCTAATTACTTTTTAGTAGAACGTTAGAGTTTCTAATTAAGTAATTTTTTTATCTAAATAAAGTAATTCTACTAATTTAAATTAGATAATTTTTTTATCTAAATTAGAAACTAAAGTCTTACTAGTATTCTATAAATCTAATTATAATTACTTTACTTATACCTTACTATATAAATATAGTTAAGTTATTATAAGAGCTATAATAGTTTAACTTAGCTTTAACTTAGTACTTTAGCTTAACTTAGCTTCGCCTAAGTTACATAACTCTACCTAGCGCCTTAGCATAGGCACTCTGTGTATATAGAGAGCTCTTAGAGTATTCTTCTACTTCTTATCTTTAGATAGCTAAATTTAATCTAACCTACTCTACTAGCACCTCTTATTCTTATAGCTTATAGAGATAGTACTACCTATAGCTAACTTACCTAGCTAGGTGTTTAGAAACGCTTATAGTAGTAGAGACCGCGAACCTAGCCCTTATATTATTTAAAGGTTAATACCTCTTTAGCTAAAGATAGCGGTATAATATCTAGCTAAACTAAGTAGCCTTATTAAGAAGCGTTTACTAATAGCTATACTAAGAATTAGAGCTACGAGAGCCTAGTTACTTACTCTAAGAATCTATTAACATACTAATTAATTACTTACCTCTAGCGCTGTATAAGACTACTAGTAGATCTAGTTAGCGGTAGAAAGATACTAGCACTAAGCTAAAGAGAGCTATTAAGAGCTCTGTGTACGGGAGGACTTCTACAGAACTCCTACGTGTAGAAACCTCCCCCCCTCTTTTTTACGAATTACGAAAAATCGATAATTCTCTGCTCTGCTAGCAGAGCTAATAATCTCTCTGCGCCGCTAGCAGAGCCGACAACCCGCTGCCTCGCTAGCAGCTAATACCTCTCCTCTGTTTCGAAAACCGACAATTCTCTGCTCTGCTAGCAGAGCCGACAACTAGCTGCCCTGCTAGCAGCTAATACCCCCCCTCTGCTTCGAAAATCGACAATTCTCTGCTCCGCCAGCAGAGCCGACAACTAGCTGCCCTGCTAGTAGCCGATACCTCTCTGCTCCGCTAGCAGAGCTAATACCCCCCCCTGCTTCGAAAATCGACAATTCTCTGCTCCGCTAGCAGAGCCGACAACTAGCTGCCCTGCTAGCAGCTAATACCCCCCCCCTCTCGAACGAAGAATCAAGACATATAAGAGAGAGGAGATACTACAGAAGATAGTAGAGAATTTAAAGCCTATACAGGTAGGAGACTAGAGAGCCTTAGGGCTTAGAGACGAGCCCTCCCTGTAAGGGGGGGTGATGTAACAGTTCGACTTAGCTCTAACTTAGTGCTTTGGCCTAACTCGGCTCCGCCTAAGTTACATAACCCTGCCTAGCGCCTTGGCATAGGCACCCTGTGTATATAGAGAGCTCTTAGAGTATTCTTCTGCTTCTTACCTTTAGATAGCTAAATTTAACCTAACCTACTCTACTAGCACCTCTTATTCTTACAGCTTATAGAGACAGTGCTGCCTATAGCTAACTTACTTAGCTAGGTGTTCGGGGACGCTTATAGTAGTAGAGACCGCAGACCTAGCTCTTATAAGAGCTAGCTTTATAGTCTTTACTACTATAAGTATTTCTAAATATCTAGCTAGGTAAGTTAGCTACTAGTAGTACTATCTCTATAAGCTAAAAGAATAAGAGGTACTAGTAGAGTAGATTAAGTTAAATTTAGCTATCTAAAGATTAAAAGTAGAGAAAAAGCTCTAAAAGACTCTATATATAGAGGTACTAAGCGTTAAAACACTAGACTAGGTTATATAATAAAGTTATATAATCTAAAATTATATAACTAAGATAAATCTCTAAACTAGACTAAATTATTATAGTTATTATAAACTAATAATAGTAGTATAACTATTACTTTATTATTATCTATTTTCTATACTATAATAGTAGTCTTATTAGTAGCTAGTAGTATTAGTTTTATCTTCTTCTTTAAGATAATAGACTAGAGGTCTACGTATTAAAAGATAATAGACTAAGCTAATTACTATTCTAGGTAGTTTTCGTCTTATAAGGTAAGCTATAGTAATAATAAAAAGTTAAGCTTAAACTAGAAGATTAATATTATAATAGTCTAGTTTAGAGATTTATCTTAGGTTATATAACCTTAAGTTACGTAATCTTATTACGTAACCTAGCCTAGCGCCTTAGCGCTTAGCACCTCTATATATAGAGCCTTTTAGAGCCTTTTCTCTACTTCTTATCTTTAGATAGCTAAATTTAATCTAACCTACTCTACTAGTACTTTTTATTCTTATAGCTTGTAGAGATAGTACTATCTATAGCTAACTTATCTAGCTAGGTATTCTAGAGGCGCTTATAGTAGTAGAGACTATAAACCTAGCTCTTATATTATCTAAAGGTTATTACCTCTTTAGCTAAAGATAGTAGTATAATATTAAGCTAAACTAAGTAGCCTTATAAGAAGCGTTTACTAATAGCTATACTAAGAATTAGAGCTATAAGAGCCTAGTTACTTACTCTAAGAATCTATTAACGTTACTAATTAATTACTTACCTCTTAGCGCTGTATAAGACCTACTAGCAGATCTAGTTAGTAGTAGAAAGATACTCTTAGTAGCGAGCTAAAGAAAGCTATTAAGAGCTCTAGGTATAAGAGAACTTCTACAAAACTTCTACGTATAGAAACCTCTTTTTTTTTTTTTTAAAAACTAGTAATTCTCTACTCTGCTAGCAGAGCTAATAATTAGCTACTCTGCTAGCAGAGCTAATAATTAGCTACTCTACTAGTAGTATATACTCTTACTTCTTAAATAAGAAGCTATACTTAAGTTAAACTACTTAAATACTATAGGTAAACTCTTATAAAGTAACTCTAGAAGTAAGACTCTAGTTATATAGTACTCTTTTACCTCTATAATTCTTAAATTCTAGGTAGAGAACCTACTAGCTAGCTACTTAAACTAATATTATTATTGCGAATTACCTATTTAACAATATAACATAATAACTAATAAGAATTAGAATATTAACTTTAAATAGAAGCTAGTATAGCTACGCTAGAGCTTAGTAATACTAAGGTTATTAGTAGTAGATAGCTCTTATATACTCTCTACCTCTAGAAAGAAGCTCTAAGAGCTTTTTCTAGAAAAGCTAAGCGAAATTATTAATAAATTAGTTAGCTAATTACTTATACGCTAGATACTTAAATAATAAACCTATATA